ATACTTAATAAAATTTTTTTAAAGCATATATCTAACAAATAACTTGATGTTAGGCAATGTAATAAAGAGACAATTCTAGTTTAGGAAAAAAGTTCAAATAGAGCTCTAATGAGTTAAAACTTTATTTTTATTTTATTTTTAAAGAGAAAAATGAAAGAGAACTTCTATTGTATATGGTTTAAAAAATAATTTTTTTGTTAAACAAGTAATTATTTCTCTAAAAAACTAATAGAAAATAGCTAAAACCAACGTGTCATTTTTTCATTTTCTATTCAAGATTGACAGTAATAGGTAGCCTTTTTTATCTACTAGTTTGGTTTCCTCCATCATTGTACCCATGTTAGGCAGTTTTCTCCATTTCTTGTTAAATCCCAATTTTGGGATTGCTTTTTTTAGCTGTGGACTTCAAGCAATGAAGAAAAACACAGCGTTGAAATTTGAAATTTGAAGCTTCCTAATTGTACAACAAACTGTCTACTTAAAATGAAATTTGAAATTTGAAGCTTACTAATTGTACAACAAACTGTGTACTTAAAATAAAATTTGGAAATTCTCCATCTACCATAAGAACTTGAACAATACGTGCAGATACTGTCATCCATAAAAACACAAAAGTTGAAGTAACCTAGTGTCCTACATTTGATGGGATCATCAGCTGTTGATTTACCTAGGCAGCATAACCATGTCTAAATCATAGGTCCCAAAAAATTAATTCTGGAACTGAAGAACATTCATAATTTTTTACCAGCCATGACACTGGAACTATACAAAAAATGGTTCATATTTCTTCCTCACCATGTATTTCATATCATATTTGATAAAAAAAATAATATAGGCATCAAAATAAGCAAATTGACGTCTATCTCCCAATCTATTACTTCTCTACAACCATTTCTTTCTTAAGAAATTATGCTAGGTAAATGTATGGACTGAACTAATCCTCGCACTAACCATAAAGTAAAATCCGCATAAATAAGTGACTGCAGCAACTACAAAAGTTCAGGCATTTCTGACCAAAACGTATCAATCAATCTCATGAGAGAACGCTTTCCTCGCCCTCAAATTCTCTTCTAATGATTTCAAGCACAAGTTCATTCCAGGTATCAACAGGACCGGGCATGCACCAGTGTAAGCAATCCTGAGGTGGAGGCCTTCCATCTCGATCACGTTTTGTGATCTTATTTGGATCAGGGTTTCGATATGGACCTGGATGCCCATCATGGCGGTAACTAAAGATTTCTGTAATATCCATCAACCTCAACTTTGATCTATTTGTTACTTTCTTACTGGCACGCTCGAACCCTGCCACCTGTTTTTTGTGCATTATATTTGTAAAGCCATTCTCCACCAGTTCACCTGGTGCAAGAGGATTTACTTTGCCAGTGCAAGATCCACCTGTATTCCATGCCCCACCCTCATAATGATCAGGCGAGAAGGAACGTACAATGGTCAGTCCTGTGAAATTTGGATGTGTAGCAATTGCAGTCAGACTTGTGTCAACAGACATACCAAATGCTTCAATATTGTTAACCTTCATAGGATGCGAATGGTGTGGCCACCATAACTGTCCTCCAACAATCTCATTGTTCAAGACATAGACAGATTGTTTGGCAAACCAGTGGCCAGAAGAAATAACAATCACATCAAAGTTTGGGATGAATTCCATGAAGGTCTCATCAGGGACATCAAGGTGCAGCTTGACAACACCCTCTGGAGCAAAGTCAAGTTTTTCAGAAGTCTGATGAACAAGCCAAGATGACCATATACGGACAATCATTACAGATGTTGACCTGAAATACCACCTCTGCATTTTTCTATTTCCTCGGTTTTTGGGAACTTCTACCTGAAATTGTCCCACAAATTTTTTTAATAAGAAACTAGTTGCACCAAGTGAAATGAATAACAGCTATAATACAACAGAATTTTCCTTGGAGTAACAGCCACTTCATCGAAATAGAGATGACAACCAAAGAGATCAATCAAACTTTCAGGCAATCTTTCTTAAGAAAAAGAACAGAAAAATTGAAGATCAATCTTAAATGAGCTAATATATGCAATACAAACACAGCAAACCTTTTCAGGGTGCAAAATGCAGGAAAATTACCTCAAAAATCCAATTGCAGACATGAAGGTGAGCTAACTCTTTATCAAAGACAATATTTTCAATGACATTCTTAAACAAACACAGGAACCCAAATGGTGACCTAAACTTCCTTAGGTGGCATACATGACAAGAATAACAAGCCCAGCTATAAATATACACAGTCAGGCTGAACTGGAGATAAATGTGCCAGCACATGCATTATAAGACATGAAAAACATTTGGATTATGCCAGATAACCAGCCATAACAACTAAGACTTAGTGCAAATCTGAGTTTAGCCTGAAGCCTAATGGGATAGATAGATCTAACATGCAAGTTGCAGTAATAGATTTCATACATAATGCATAGAATCAACCACATAGCATATTACAATGGACAAAATGCCTACGACCATTCTGCCTAACTGCTAGTTCTATCATGTCTATCTGATCTAACTCACAAAAGCTCATAAATCTGTTGCAGTTTCCCTCTTTAACCCCAGAGGAGCTGAGCATCATTTCACTTTCCATTTTCTAAATTTAGTTACCAATTAACACACTAAAAGGGGGAAATGCTGGAAATAATTGGTTAAAAGATCACAAACAAGGCAATAAATTATGACATCTTTCCTAACCAGAGGTGAGATACTGCAGCTACCAAGTCCAAGCTTGCCAGCATAAACCAATCACTATAGCATAATCCACAATAGTTCTACACAAGTAAAACTTCTGGTAGAGATGAGATTAGACACGAAACCAATTGCTGAAACCTCAGAGCGATTTTTCATTCAGAAATGACTGACATTGTACAAAGGAAGATACTTGCCTGCCACAGAAGACACAACAGTGATTCCATCTGGTTTCGAGCAACTGAATCACCAACAAATGCAAGTGTCTTCCCCCTCATCAACTCTAGAAATTTTTTGGCATCAAATCGTGGGAGGTCACAGTGAAAGGGTTTCCAGCGCCAGTTCTCATAGTCCTTGTCAGGCCTCCCATTTCCCTGGCAGTTCTGCATCTGTGTCAGCACAGGACAGCTGTTGTTTGTGTACACTGGACGCAATGGATCATAAAACCAATTTCCATGGTACAGGTCACAGCCTACTGAAAAATTTTTAAAAAAATCTAAATTTGAAACAGAATCCTAATGCTTGAGAGAAGGGAGGAGAGGTAACATAAAGAAATCATGGAAACACTTCGGACAACATACATAAGAGCAAATTTAACTTATATATTGATCTGTGTATTGGGGGAAAATAAAGTCATTTACATGAAGATTTAGGATATATCTATTATGGTAGATGGAATGTATCAACACACAGGTATTTTTTGACAATATTTTATCATTTATAAAGTAGGTTCTCCTATCAGCAGATCATATATAATAATTCCACCTCTACCAGTTCATCAAAAAGAATTATTGTTAGAGAGAAAGTATCGTATTCTCTCCATGTTGCATTTTTTTTTATGGTAATTGTATAATCTCCTGCACTTATTACCTCCACTGGAAATACAGTTTACCTGAATCTGATGGATAAAAATGGAAGCGCAAAACTAAAGTTGGACAAAGTTAAAAACATGACAATTAATTACTTGCTGACAAAAAAATCTAAGCAAACAGCAAGTTACCAAAGAAAAGTTACCTGATTCAACCGAACCATTCTTGGTTGCACTGCTCATCGCAGAACTAGCACTAGTTCCCTCCTTCCCTATTGATCTTGGAGATTTTTCCACTGTCTCGTTTTTTTTCAATTCAGATTCTGAACCACTGGAACTAACTGGCACTTTTATGCCATCCGAGGGACTCTTGTCAGTCAGAATTGCATTCTTATCATTATTTGAGCTAGTGGGAACTTCTAGATTTGACCCAGATGATGAATTCTTATGCATGTAATCTAAATTGTTACTGTGCATATTTTCATCACTACTTTGCTCAAGGGAAGAAATGACCACATCCACTTTCCTATCAATACCATAAAAATACCCACGAACAGTGGAACTAATTGGGGATGAGATCAGAAGCAACGAAGCAAAAATCAAAAATATTGCCAGTCCTACCACAGAAACTACAATGGATGAGAGGCTCCGTGGTAATGCAGCCATTTTGGGAGACCCTCTAGGCGAAGCCAAAGTCATGGTTCATCAAATCCAATTATTTCCTAAAAAAGCCCAAGACATGGAATCCTCCGAACTGAACTAACTTACTGTAATAGAAATCCTAGTTGAAAGTTACTTCCTTGAAAATGACCCCCAACAAATGTTTCCCAGATGGCAAAATAAACGAAGCAAAAACACCAGATTATTCGCTGAAAATATCGAATTCGCCACAACCTTCTTCAAATTGTCTGCATGGCTTCATCTCTGTGGGTTCTAAGAACACAACCAGCATAAAAATCAGAAATCAAATAATAAAAAATAAAAAACCAAAGCAAACCCATGAATGCAGCTCCCAAATTCTCCCCATTAACACAAAATTAAAATCCAGTCCATGATCTTCCCAAGCTCCATAATAATCAAATAGAAAAATGAATCAGGCACACAATAAAACAATTGGAATTCATCCTGAAACTTACAAGTTGTCGAAAATGGTGTGAATTTTGTGGCGGTGGAATAGTCGCCGGTAAAAAAAAAGGGTAGATCTTGGATCAGGCGACAAGGAATTTAATTATTATAAGAGGCCAGGGAGTTCAAAATGCCGGGAATTTTCGGTTCCTAATTTTGCGGCAATCTAGGAATTCTCAATTGCGTGTGCTTCCAATCTTCTTCCGCAGTTTCTATACTTGCCTTCGAATTTTCTAGGCGGAGAGCGAGGAAGAAAACGAAGATCCGTTAAATTACTAGACTGCCACCATGGCACGCGGTGTAGTTGTAAAGTTTTCGAAAATAATGTAGTTTTCTTTTAGTAACAAAACTGTCGGCTTAATCAGTAAGAGTTTGATTTGTAAAGGAATTTAAATTACCGAATGATTATCTTTTTTTTAGAATAAAAAACTTTGAATTAGAGTTGGATGATATATGTGTGATATAGGATAAAAAATAAAAAATAATTGTTTTTTATTATATAATTAAGATAAAAAAAATTAGGAGTTTGATTTTTTTATTTATAATGTTAAGTTTTACTCTTTTAAACCCGATGGAATACGAGTTGAATGCAATTTCATTCTAAACCAACTTAGCTTCCAAATGTTGGGGGATTAATTAAAAAAAAAAGTATGGTTTTGCTTTTTTTCATAAGAAAAAGGATATACAGTTAAAATTCAGCACATTTGAAGCTGAGGCACACCGGCGGAGGTAAGGGGGCTAAGGGGGCACAAGTCCCCCTAAACTTTTGAGAAATGAAAACTTTGGTCTATTAATTTATATTTTTTATTATTTTAATCCCTGTTTATTTCGTACATTTTTATCATTTTTTAACCTTTTTTTCAAAGATTAGTTTTAGTGAGTATAAGAAAAATGAAAATAATAAGGATAAAATAAAATATGATAAAAAAATTAAGATTAATTAAATACAAAATTGTTCAATATCACCATTTTATAAAATAGTTATTCATTAATATCCTTTTATTTTGTTTTTGTCTATTTGTTTTCTTTTATTTAGTATATGTTTACAATACTATCAACTAATATTAGTTTATCATTAAAAACTAACAATTTTTAATTTAAAATAATTTTTATATTAAAAATTTTCTTTTTATTGACTTTTTAATTAATTTAAAGACACATGATTTTTTTTTTTGTCAAAATTTTGTTTGGTCTTCCTTAAAAATTTTTTTTTGACTCCGCCACTAATTAGACATATAATATTGTGCACCCATCCTCTCCTTTTATTTAGATAAGTAAATGAATTAAGGGTTTATTTAACCGATTCCTTTATAGAATATTTGAGTTAAGTGGAATGGAGAAGAGGAAAGGAAAGAAGAAAAAAAAAATTTATTTGATTATTAAAAAAATTAGAGAAGAGACAAAGAATTCCCTTTACTTTATTTTTTCTTTTAATTTAGTTACTTATCATAACAAGAGGAAGGGAATGGAGGAAAATTATATCCTTTCATTCCCCTCCCATCTTTTCCTTTCCCTTTCCCTCAATTCAAATATAAGGTTAAAGTACAAGTTAAGTCTTGATATTTGTTATTAATTCTGTATAAATTTTCATACCAAATTCATATTTTTTATATAGATTTTAAATATAAATATTTTATTTTATTTTAATTGAATCTAATATAAAAATTTATATAAAATTAATTACAAATACTATATTTAATGAATTTTAACTTGTGTCCTTAGCAAATTTCATAAATTTAAAGAAAAAGTAATCTAAATGGCTTTTTCCCCTTCTCTCCTCTACCTTCCTCTCTAATTTTTCTAGTCACAAAATAGAGAAAATTTTTTCTCTTCTACATATTTTTCTCAACCTATATATACTGTATAGTATGATATATAATTACCCTTTTCATTTAGAGTGTATTTATTATATTGTAGGATATTATACAGCATTTTCATATTATATACACTTACTTACACGTTACATTTGGTTAATACTTAATAACATAGTTGTAAGGTTATAATCTAATGTGTAATTATAACATTGCCGTGGGGTATTTTTGGCACTTGATCCTCACGTCAGCCACGTGCATCAAGAACATTGCCTGGCTGACTGACCTCGGCTGTTTGCTTACGGCCCAATAAAAGACCAGATCAGACATCACATTACTCGAGCCCATTAAATCTTGGTCCGAGTAAAACGGGCTCAAGGCCCATACTCATTTCCTCCTCCCAAGGCGAAAACCGGAAAACGGAATTTTCCACGTCAACGTCGTCGATTCCTTCCGTCCCGAAAATGCACCTTCTCTTCCGCTCTCAGACGGCACGGGAAAAGCATTACCCATGCAATATTGCTTCCTCAATCACGTAAAGTAGCCTTCCAAATTCTTCCATTTTCATTCGAAATTTTTTTTCTTTTTATTCTATTTTTTTATTTTTTATTTTAATGGCTTCCCATACGCTCTCATTTCTCCCCATTGCGGTTTCCACTGCTCAATCTCTCCACCGGAACCGCCACGACTCTTCGTTGTCTCTTCCGGTGAGTTCCATGCTTGGGAAAAAGCTTTTAATTCGAAGCTCCAACTTGAGGAGTTTCGTTCCCAAGCAACATTCCTCTCCGACGGCGACAGTGGCGTTTAGTGTGGAAAGTTCGTAAGTTTTGGTTAATTTATTCAATTTTGTGCGTTTGTGTTTGAATCTAAAATTTTGGTTTACGGATAATTTCATTTTCGGAGTTAATTTTGCGGGAAACAAGTAAGGAATCCTTCTGAGAGACTCCCAAAGTGAGTGAAAGCTCTCTGATGTATCTAAAATACATGCTGGTTATTTTTTTGCTGTTTGATTAGGGATTTTTTGTTTGGATTTAGTGGTGGTGGTGTTAAGTGGTGAGCCAGAGCAATAAAGGCATTTGCAATGGGGGAATTGGAGGCGAGGAAGATAAAGTATCCCGATACTGGCACTGAAGCAATCCTTATGGGAATTCTGGTTGAGGGTCAGTAATTTCTTAGCCATTTTATCACATTGCTTGTTATTGTAGCATCATCTTTCTGAAATATTAGCATTCGATAAAGTTTGGAAATTTAAGCTAGTTATAGTTAGAAAATTTTCTATTTGATGCTATGTTGTCGTGAATATGGATGCAGTACAGCGGTATTGTAGTAGGCTGTTTGGGGTTTAAATTCAATGGTTACAATCCAGTAATTTACTATTTTGGTTTGCTATATTGAAGGTTAAACTGATTTAAAGTCACTAAATGAGTAAATGAGCAAGTCACTGCCCAGGAAACTTAATGTTGCTGGTTTGAATTATGCAAGTAGAAGTAGGTTGATCACCTTTTCTTCCAAAGTGTCGATTCCTGTACCTGTTTATTTTGCAGTAAATGAAGCTATTTCATGTAGTTTTAGGCTTTTTTTTTTTTTTCTCATTAATGTATCTATTTGATGGATGGAAATTGGAAAGCAACTAAAACAGCTTAGGCGATAGGCAATTCTTTATCTTTCCAGTTTTTAGTCAAATAAATCTTCTTGGAGTATAGAGTCATTCATTCTGAATTACTTTTACATGATCCAAATGCGAAATATTTTTTTTTAATTGTGGACTTCTGCTGAAGGTCAGTTGCTTTGGAGCACTTTTTAGAGATATCATAAGCATGAACTGAAGGTCTGTTAGTGTGGTTTCTGTTAAACCCTTTCAAACTCTATATTTGACTAATTTTTTCATTCAATTTCACATTACTAACTCACCTGCAAAATAGATATCAAGCATTCTAATCCAGGCTTGGTCTAACAGAAGTGGCACTCTTTAAGGAGGGAGAGGGTAAATTAACAAGGTTGAAACTCTGTTTTCACAGTGAACCAGAAACGTGAAAAAGAAAGGAGAAAGGCATTATTACTCCTTTAATGTGCAGTGTTGCTGCACAATTCTCCATCAATTTGTGCTCATGCAACTTTTTGTTTGTACAACCCAAGGTAAAAAAAGAAAAAAAAAAGAAAAAAAAGAAAAAACCAGCAACAATAACAAAACAAATTCTTCCATTATATGGTATATATTCTTTAGATATGGCCTGTTTTCTTATTGAATCCTGTGTCCTTTAATATGCTTTGGTTTTAGGGTAAGGCATCATATTCCTTCCATGATAACTGCTCAAAAACAACATTTTTAATCCAGATATACAGTTACATTCTTTTCTGTGTTTAATCATATCTAATTAACAGGCCTGTGAATCTTTTGATTTGGAATGGCAACATAGAATTGAGATGCTGTTTAAAGCATGGATAAACTCTATTATGTTGTTTTTCTTGAGGAACTTCAATGACACTATCTTTTCTGTGAACTAAGAGTGATGTAATTACTAGGAACTCCTAGTGTCCTCTCTGGTGGACTTCTTGTTTACAGCTTTTCCATTAATTTATTTATTTTGATGTTCCTTTAAATGGTGTATGTTGCAATTTGCTACTATGCGTTTTTGTTGCTAGGAACTAGCGCAGCTGCAAAGTTTTTGAGGGATAATGGGATTGCACTATTCATGGTGCAAGATGAAATACTAAATTTACTGCAGAAGGCAGATATGACTTTTACCAGTCCTGAGCATCCTCCATTGACTGAACAGGCTCAAAAAGCCCTTGATTGGGCTGTTGAGGAAAAACTTAAGTCAGGTAATAAGTAGTTTCTAGTGGTTGTTCAATTTTTAATTAATTTTACTCTTGGTTTGTGCTTTTTCATGTCCAATTTCTTGTTAGGACTACAGTTCCGGCTTAGTAATATCATGTGACTACCTGCCCCTAAAAGGCTATTCATTAAACACTGACGTTTGATGTTCCTATTACAAGTTGACAATCCTTTGGATTGAAAAGCAGTTTGTAGAGAAATGTAGACATACAAAGTGTAACATTTATGTCCTAGATTGCTATGCCTATCCCTATATTTATGTCTTTGAATATGAATTATCAGCAAGGAACAGCAGAATCACAAGATACTTCCAAAATGCCCATTATAATAAAGCTGAGAATCTTGAGATGTATTTCAACCGTGCAATTTTAAGTCTAATACACAGAAGAGCTCCTAATAGTATATTGTCTGATTGATTGATAGGCATGTAGTTGTTGATGGATATATGCCATTACAAGGTAACGAACCAGACAACTTTGTTTCTGCTTCCCTCATCTACATCTCTTGTATTTGATCTGATGTGGTCTGGCTGTTGCAACTTGTGATTGATTGTCACTTAGCTTGGCTGGTTTTCTTGTCCTTATTTCATGCATGGCATTGTTCATTTATCCTTAAACCATTTGATGTTTGTATCTTATCTTAGATAATTCTGTCTAGTTCAGGTGAAAGTGGGGAAATAACTACAACTTACCTGCTCCTTGGCATTTGGGCACAGAAAAATTTAGCAGGCCACAAGGTCTTGCCTACTTTAGGTTTTAATGACCAGAAAGCCAAGGAGCTTGAAAAATTTGTAACTTTGAAGGCTTAATAATAATAGAGCTATTGCCCTTTTTCTGATGACACTAATGCTGTTCCATGCAGAAAAACCAGCATTTTGTTCCAAATTTTAAGTAGGACAGAAGATTTGACAATTTGCCAACTTATGGCCATGGTGAGCATTGTCTTCCTAGAGTAGAAGCTTGTTGGCGGAGCTAATTATCTAATTCATGTGATGTTCCACTTAAGATTGTGTTTCAAGCAGCGAGTGTTTTCATCAACCAGAAGAGTTAACAGCTATTTATCTCGGTTTTGTAGACAAAACTATAGTGCAGGTATAATTTGTGGTGATTATACCTAGAGAGATAGAGGAGAGACGAGTTATCTGGTATTCTTTTTTCTTAATTAGTATTCTAGCATGTGGCTGTGTTTCATTTTATGATTGGATTTATAATCGTGTTCCTAAGATAGTTTAAGGTTGATTTTAGTTAATGAAGGAGGTATTCTAGAGTTTTTCAGTCATTCTCTATTGATCTTTGCATAAGGTGCCTCCATATGTCATTCTTGTTATTCATGCCACAAGTTTTTTTGTTTTAATAAATGGATTTATTAATTAGCAAATATTATAAATTTGCTACTTTGGTGTTTTTGTTTCCTTATTTTATTAAATGTGCTCATTTCTTGTAAATTGGAACATATCAATCCAGAAAACAATCACAACTAAATTTTTTTTAAGAGAAAGAGAAGAAAATTTAGAAGAAAATGAATTGGTATCCTCAAAATACGTGAGAGAGAAGAAATGTTACACCTAACAAATATTTCTTGGTATCATCCTTACTTGTGGGGCAACTAATTAAGTCATAATATGAGGTTGCGCAACATGGGCATAATCTAACCCTAGGTTGGAGTCAGTCAAGTGGATGTATAACACAACATTTTTTTTAATTTAGTAATCTTAAGTATTTTATTAACAAGCTCTAAAAAGAATAAGATAAACCTTATGAAATTGATTTAAAGGGCAGGGAGTGGAAACCTTGATAAAATACAAAGTTGGAATCCTCCCATTACCATTTGGATACAAATAATTTCTATGGACCATGCTTACCACCCATTGGTGGATAGGCCTAGTATTCATGGACACAGTCGATGTAGATACCCGTGGGATTAGTTGGATCAAGGGTTTAGATACCCATGCTATAAGATAAAAAGGCAAAACCCCCTTATTAAACCCCTAAACTAATCTCATATTATCAATTGAGCCCCCATATTTTTTTAGAAGTAAATAAGCCCCTAAAGCCCACAATCTATGCAATTTTGCCCTTTTCTATGTCTTTCTTTATCTACAACTTTGCAATCCACCATTAAGAGGGTAAAATTACATAGATTGTGGGGTTTAAAGGCTTATTTGCTTTAAAGAAAAGTCTAAAGGCTCAATTAAGAATATGAGGTTAGTTTGAGGGCTTAACTTAGGGTTTGCCAATAAATAAATAATAAACTCTAGAAAAGGAGACTTACTAACTATTTCTAACTTGTGCGTTCTCTTATGGAAGATAATCCGATTCTTAATTAGTTGTTATATTTTATATGGAAAGAAAGTGAATTGTTAGTTTGATACCATTTAAAATTTAAGCTTATCTTAACAATGTAGCCTAATGGATATTAATTTCCCAATTTAATCCTAAATTTCCATATATCCATGCTTGTCAACCATGCTTTACTTTAACCAGTCACAAAACCATGTCATTATCTTTTTCCATTAACATTTCTCTTCTCATATATATTCACCTAAATGTGCTCATTTCTCACCTCTATATAAATTCTCTATTCTACTAGTGGATAACTTTTCCTACTTAAGGAACACAAATTACTCTAAAAAATGGCAACCCAATTGGTTTCCTCAGGGTCATCACCATCTTTCTCCTCACTAGTGGTGAACCCAATGCCTATTTACGGATCAATATCCATCCAAGGGCTTTCACCTAATATGAATGATCGATGGTTCATAAAGGAAAATCTTTGCCAACCTGATGTTATGGGTGGTTTGCCCCTACATTTCTTTGCTGTGTATGATGGCCATGGCAGCTATCATGTAATCTTTTCTTCTTTCAATGTCTATTGGGAATTTATTATATCAATTTTTATTTCTTACATTTAAAATATACAGGTATCCTCACTTTGTGAAGATTTAATGCATACATTTGTAGCAGAGGAGCTAATGCACATCCAAAATGTATCTAGGGGTGGAAATGATGGTAGTGGTGTTAATACTTCCAGCTTAGCACAATGTACTCATCAACAAGGGTGGGAGGATTTGATACAAAGAGCTCTAAAGAATAGTTTTGAGAGGATGGATCAAGCTGCCTTAGGCAATTGTTCTTGTGATAGGGCATCAAATATATGTAGATGTCGCTCATTTGTATACAACATTTCAGGATCCACTGCCAATGTAGCAATCCTTTCATTGCATCATATTATGATTGCCAATTGTGGTATCTCACGTGCTGTTTTGTGTCGTGGTGGAAAAGCCTTTCCATTATCGCAAGATCATAAGGTTATTTTATTTTAATAACATATTTTGTCTTTTACGAGTGGTGAATGTCTTTTTTGGTATTTCAATCATGCTTGTTATCCATTTTTTCATTAGCCAAAAAGTTACTTTTTAGTCCCTTAATATAAAACACAAAAATTTTCCCTTTTCCTCTTTTATATTTCCTTCTTAAAATTTGTTGGCCTTTTATTATCTTGGCCTTTTTTTAGTTTTGTCTTTTTCCTTTATGAAATGAATTGCCTAACTGTCTTCTTAATTTTCTTTTCCTTTTCTACCTACAGCCAGATCGATTGGATGAATTAAAAAGGATCTATGAATTTGGTGGCAAGCTTATAAATAGGGACAAGCCTCGAGTCAATGGTATACTAAACACGACTCGTGCAATAGGTAATTTTATGGTTAAAACCCCTTTTTGGTCCCTGAACTATTGTACGGACCCCGATTTGGTCCCTGAACTAAAAAAATCCCTGATTTGGTCCCTACTATTTACCATTTTTACCCCGATTTGGTCCTTCCTTTAAAAATTGTATGACGTGGCCTGTTATTTCACGGTTACCAAATGACATGTCATGCAGTGATCCACGTGTAAGATAATATAGCCAAAAAGTGATGATTTGGAAAAAATAATAATATAAAAAAATATTATGAAAAATAAAATTTAAATTTTTCTTTTCTTTTTTCTTTCTCCTTCTCCTTTCCCTTTCCCTTTCCCTTTCCCTTTCTCCTTCCCCTTTCCCTTCTCTTTCCCCTCGGAACCCAGCAGGCCTGGGTTCCTTCGAACCCACCTAGGCGCTAGGTTCCTTGCGAACTCAGCATGCTTGCCCGGGTTGGGTTCCATGGAACCCAGCGCTTGGGTTCCATGGAACCCACGCCTGGGTTCCTTGGAACCCACCGGCAAACCAGCTGGGTTCCATGGAACCCAAGCGCTAGGTTCGAAGGAACCCAGGCGCTGGGTTCCCTTGAACCCATGCCTGGGTTTTTCGAACCCAGCTGGTTCGCGGCTGGGTTCCATGGAACCCAACCTTGGGTTCCGTCGAACCCAGGCATGGGTTCAATGGAACCCAGGCGTGGGTTCGAAGAACCCAACACACTTGGGTTCCTCGAACCCAGGGGTAAAAAATGTATATCTTTTTTTTCTGTGGGTTTGGTGTTTGATGATGATGTGTTTGATGATGATGAAGAAAGCAAGGCAAGGAAGAGGAAGGAAAAAAAAGAGGCATTGTTGGGTTCGATTCAACCCAGGTGCTGGATTTGTTTGGTGCTGGGTTTGTTTGTTGGAGGAAGAAGATGATGGCAAATTCGTAATTTTGGTGGGCCTCACTTTTGTTGGGTTGGGCAAAGACATGACATGTCACGTTGCCATGTCATTATTTATTCATTTATACAACTGACATGTCTCAAATGTTTACCATGTCATTAAATTTTCATGAGATAACGGTGAGATTTTAACGGAAGGATCAAATCGAGGTAAAAATGGTAAACAGTAGGGACCAAATCAGGGATTTTTCTAGTTCAGGGACCAAATCGGGGGTCTGTATAATAGTTCAGGGACCAAAAAAGGGTTTTAACCTAATTTTATTGATTTATTCTTTGTTTAATTATTATATCTCTTTAGCCATATAGATTTGATCATACTTCGTTACTAAAGTACTGAATTTTTTGCATTTGTAAATGATTCTACAAGTAAAGAATTATGCTTGCATAATGTTTGTTTAATAAACTCAAAGTTTCTTCTATCCTATAAATTTTATACTCAAGGAGCCTAAGTTAAAGATTAGTGTGTTATATTTAGATTGTACTAAAAAGTTAACTTATCATTTTTCTTCTATGTCTGTTGCCTCTCTCTTTTGACCAATGTACATCTTGCTTCTTTGGTTTGGCATAAAAATCTAGTGTTCATATTTAACTTTAGCTAAGTATAGAAATTTGTGGTGTTTACCTTTATTTGCATATCATATAAGGGAATAGGCTACCTTTATTCACTTCATCATTTTCTTTAATCCATCTTCAAATCATCAACAATGACATTTATATTATCTTAAATTCCCTTTGTAGTAGAGCAAGATGACTATATAGATGCTACAAATGTGCTTTTTGTCGAAGACACTTTTTATCTTCTTGGTATAATAGAATGATAAATCATAAATTATATATAATCCCTTGATTGAACTACTGTTATTTCCTTGTCATTTTGTATATATCACTGCCAATGAATCTTTCCTAAATATAAAGATTCATATTTGGACTATTGTATTAATTAATTTAATTTGTTTATATATCAGACAAAACAATTAATTAGATTTTAATACTGACATCTTGATCAACAAGTAACTCTTTTCTAAAAAGCATCATAATATTCGAACCTGAGATTACCATAACGAAAAGAGAAGTTGAAGATGAATTCTTGATTCTTGCATCAGAGGGGTTATGGAATGTAGTCTCAGATGCTCTTGCTTGTGAGTTAGTTAGCTCTTGTCTAAAGGAGAAAAGTCCAGTGGATCCAATAATGTTTCCTACAAAAAGCACATTCGCAGCATCTATACTTGCTAGGCTTGCTCTTGCAAGGGGAAGTGAAGAAAATATAACTGTAATAGTTATTAATTTTTCAAGGGATTGAGAGGATTGTATAGGGTAAGATGTTTGAAGTAAAGATATTTTGACGAATGGTAATATAGTCTTGGGACACAAATTATGAATGCTTAATTAACTATCATGCTATTTTGATACGAACATACTTTGATGTCATTGGTTTTGAGTTAGGAAGTAAGAAAGCATAGCTTAGGAAGTATTACAAAAAGCTTTTAAAAGCTAATGACAATTACATTGTATTTCTAAAATTGTGTTGTTTATTTTTTTTTATTTGATATCTTGATTATTATGAAGAAATTTATCATTACAGTTAAATGTTCAACAACTATACATCAATTTTTTTTTTTTTTATCAAATAGAGTTAGTTACTCAAATTATAATTACAGTATACTCTAGTTGTTTAAGTTATAATTATATTAAACGCAAATGTTGAATAATTAAACATTAATTTTTTAACATGAAGCTTGTGGTGGGGGGGGGAGTTAGACATTTTTCTTTACTTTTCTAGCTCAAAAATAAGATTTAAATAGCTAAAACAATCATTTTTCTTTTTTGGTGGTGTCTCTTACTTCACCCTCGTAAAGGAAAATTTCAAAATACTTGTATGAACAATAAAAAATTATTGTCTTAACAGATGATAAATAATGATGCACCTCAAATCAGTGATATATTTAATACAAATCGTGTGATAGATAGTCTCGTTAATTTATTTTTGATTTAATTATACATATATTTTTAAATGTATAAATTTGATCATATGTTTGTAGCCAAAATGAAAAATTTTTATATTTGTAAATGATTATTTTCACCTTATTTTTGTTTAATAAACATAAAGTTTGTTACATCTTATAAGTCTTACATTCAAGCAATATGAGTTATAGAATTAGTTTGTTGTATTTAAATTATATTGAAAAATTAACTAGTCTTTTTCCCTTTCTAGATCTAACTTCTTTTTCTTCTTTTTTTCTTTTTGGTCAATGTAGATCTAGCTTTTTTAACAAGGTATAATTTTATTATTCTATCTACTATTTATATTTAAGCTTAGTTGAGTACAAAAATTTGTGATGTTTAGTTTTATTTTCATATCATATGAGAGCAAAGCTTACTTTATTTACGTCTTCATCCTCCTTAGTGCCTTTTCAAATCACCAACAATGACTTATGCTATCCTTATTTCCCTTTACACCAGTCTACTAAAGCAAGAAGACTATATAGATGCTATAAAATCACCTTTTATCCAAGGCATTGTTATTTTCTAGGTAAAATAAAGTGATAAATCACAAATTACATGTAATCACTTGGTTGAGCCATTATTGTTTCCTTTTTCATTTTGTATGTTTTATTGCCATTGAATCTTCACTAATTGTAGTAATCGATATTTAAATTTTATTATTAATTAATTTAATTTTTTTATCTATTAAACAAAATAATTAATTAGATTTTAATTTTGACTTTTAATCAGTAAGCATTTTTTTCCTAAAAAACATCATATTATATGAATCTTAAATTACTATAATAAGAAGTAATGTTGGAGATAAATTATTAATTCTTATGTCAAATGAGTTGTGAAATGTATTGTAAGAAACTTTTGCTTATAAAATAGTTGGTTGTAAGAAGTTTTTGCTTATAACATAGTTAATTATTCTCTTAAAAATGGGAGTTTAGTAAATTCAGTAATATTTCGCATGAAATTTCCATTGCAACATTAATACTTACTAGACTTGCTCTTCCAAAGGGAAGAAAAAAAAATAGAAATATAATAGTTATGGATTTGTTGGTGGGCTAAAGAATTGTATGTAGTGGGATAATTGAACTTAAATATAAATATAATAGTTGTTGATTTGTTGGTGGACCAAAGAATTGTATATAGTGAAATGTTTGAACTAAAAATGTTTAATGAATGGTAATATGGTATTGAGATACAAATTATGAATGTTTAATTTATTATAATACTATTTTCATATATAGATACTTTTGTGTTGTAAATTTTGGTCACATCGAATTTAGTTTTTGAGTTAGGAAAATAAGAAAGTATGACCTAAGAGGCATTACAAATTAACTTCTAGAAACTAAAAAACAATTTTTAAAAACTAATAACAGTTACATTTATGTTTCCAAAATTGTGTTGTTTTGTTATTTTTTGTTTAACATTTCAATTATTATAAAGAGTTTATTATTATAATCAAATATTAAATAATTATACATTAATTTTTTATTAAATCATGTTAGTTTGAAGTAACTTGTTTATGTTATGATTACTATATTATATTTAAATGTTAAATAAGTAAATATTAATTTTTTTTAAAATATAAACTTTTTAGGAGAGTTGAGCATTTTTCTTTGTTCTCTTAATTCAAATATAAGAATTTGATTAATCATATTCAAAATGTATCACATATTTCATTCAAGACTAATTGCTAAAGATATTCATCAATAATACTTACCTCAGACATAGAGAAATTTTCTCTTTATAGTCTTGTCTACCTTACTATTGTAAAGGAAAACATTAAAATAATACTTGATATGGAGAAAAAAAAGAACATGTTGTCTTGTTTAACATTGCAAATAACATAAAATAGATGTCAAAATCTATATAGGACAATTATTAAGGAGAATAAATTTTAAAATACTTAATTTAAGTACAATTAAAAATTTCTTAACGAAAAATAAATTTAAGACTTCATTTTCAACCGTGAAATTCTTATATTAAATTAATTTTCTTCATCTTTATAATAGTATTTAATCACTTTCCCTTCCACCTCTAATTTCTCTCTCTCTCTCTCTCTCTCTCTCTCTCTCTCTCTCTCTC